ATTCTTTCTGTCCAGCATGAATCAGTAAGTAGTATTTGCCTAAAAGCCTAAAAGCCTGAGTGGAAAACTCTGGGCCTTTATTCACAACTGTAAGAATGCTGACCTGGAGTCAGTTATCGTGTTACTTTAACCAGTAGGATAATTAAATATGCACTGAAATTAAGAGCATACCAGAAACAGCTTTTCATTTAAATATAATTTTACCTGACAAAGAGATGATGGCATTAGCAGGTCTTTTCGCAGATGCTTCGGTGCCGTTCTACATTTCACAGACCCCACATCTGTTATGGAAATTTCAAAGCAGGAGCGAGAGGACAAAATGAATCTCCGCTAGAAATATTTGCACATCTGACTCTGTCCCCGTTAGAGGTATTTTACTTTAGAGAGACAGCGGTAATGATATTCCTAGGCCATTTCATGGTCATATTTTACATTTATCCACATTTATCTAGTTAGGTCACCCATTTAACTAAACTAAAATCAAAATGTAATGTTTTTTTCATCTGAGAAGTCTTGCCTAAAAAATTTGCTTGATCATTTATGGAAGCTCCTATTTTTAACATGTTCAGACTTGATTTGAGCCTGATTTTTCACCCCCCATTTTGCTTTGGCTATTTAATAAGATTTTAATTAGGCTATTAAAGATCTTTGAAGGAACATATGGAGTAATTAAGGCTGGCCGGATCACCCAGGGAGGACTGGGCCATTAATTACTCTAAGCTGGGTCTTGGGATCAGCTCGGAGACGAGACGACAGCAGAAAACGCCACAATCTCAGATCCCACACTTCATAATTCACTCTTTCCATGCAAGTTAAATACAGTAGATACTTATGTTGAACTTTACTCTTATGACATGGTGCTTATGAACAGGTGTCGGCTTTACTTCCTGTACTTCTGAAGGGTTTGGATACCTGCGCCGCTGAGTCAGGTTTCGGAATCACATTGTTTGTGTTCTCTGATTCATAGATGTCCAGATGATCTCAAAGTTTGCAGAACTTCTGCAATGGACCATTTCAACAGGCACTTTGAGAGCAATGAGTCATAGATCTGTCACACATGTGCTAGTTATTCTTTAAAGTCCCCTTGAGTCCCCTTGAGTCCTCATCTCACACATCAGCTTCTGCACTCACACATCCACAGTCACACTTCTTACACACAAAACTGCTGATTTGGTGAATTGTAGAAGAAATAAGCATTGTCTATTTCATCAATACACACATTTAACAGTGTAATTTTAGTTATATTCATATATATAATACATATACATATATATATATATATATATATATATATATATATATAATATTGTTTTTTTTATTTTATATTTTCAGTTTTTATTCAAAGTTTAAGTTTTAGTCATGTTTACTAGTATATTTTTTATATTTCTTTTTAATTTATATTTATTTCAGTTTTTGTTTTAGTAATTTTTGTAATTGAGCTTATTTCAGATTTTTTTAATTTTTCTAAAATGTATCTATTATTAAATCTTTTTTATTTATTTAAGCTTTTTTGTTCAATTAGTTAAAAACTTTTTTAATAGTTTTAGTTAACAATAACAACTCTACGAGTCTAAGGGTGTTGTGCTTTTAGGCGATTTTTTTAATTTTGTAATTTTTTCGTCCCGGAAGTGGAAGATACTATTGCACACTTATCTAAAACATTAGTCCTCTGGATAATTTTATCTCATCTGAAAAAAACCAGATAATCTGGACAGCTGTTTCTGTAGTAATCTATTTCTATTTTTATGAAAGACAGGAAGTGACATTTGACGCCATTGTCACATATGGCTCACAAACTGGAAAAACACAGAATTATTGACTGTGCATTGACTGAATAGAGATTATTTATGTAATATTTATGTATTATTTATTCTCTCTCTTTTTTTCCCCTTTCCCTCAGGAGTTAACTATTATTTGCACACTAGTTTTATATTGTCTGGTGGAAAAATTATTTCGAGGACACTTTGTCCCCAGATCCTTCCAAGAAATACCCTCCAAATGTCTCTGAATTATATTTGTTTTCATATTACAAATCATATTAAAGTCATGCTGTATCAGTCATTTTTCCTGGCTAACAGCGATCGAGAAAAGAAAAAAAAAAGATTTTAAAAATCGTAAAATCTACTGAACAAACATATCAGTTCAGTCCAAACTAGACAAGGTTTACCATTAGTTTTAACTGAATGATTAACGTTTAAACATCATGCTTGTTCATTGGGGTCATTGCTTTTAAGATTTGGGAACTGAAGTCAGTATTGGATCATTCATCACAATAAACACCTTTGAGGACTTGTAGTGAGATGATTTATGGCTCCTGCATTAATCCAACAGTAGAAAGAAAGGAAAATGTGTATTATATCTCTTTGAGAGAGACCTTCAGTGTCCTACTTAAGCTCCTCACGTGCCTCAGCAGCATTTATCCTCTTCCTGTCAAAACTTGAAATTAATGAGATCACATCGCCATTGGTCAACTGGGATGTCACTCCAGCGTTCCCAGCGCTAGGAAGGCTAATGGTGCTTTGTAAGCGAGCCTCCCGCACCAATATGGCTGAAGCCACAGCCTTGACCAGTGCAGGACACATTCCAACCCCAGCATATGGACAGTAGCAGGAGGAGTTTGACCTTGTAAACTTATCTCTTGCCTGAGCTGAGATTGTGTGCATATTTCATAGCTGTCGGTGGTGAAACAGTGTAGCAAATTCCAAATACAGCAAACAATGAAGTTTGTGAACTTTTCTAATGGGAATTTAGTTTTTTGTGGTGTTTGCTGATGTATTATCACCAGAATGTCCTTTCAAGGTTCCATATTTTCTGTAAGTGAAGATATACAGTAGTTCAGGTTAAACTTGCTGTGTCCTTTTGTGCTACTTTGTTTGATATGTGCCATATGTTGTTCACATATACTGCTTAAACTGTGACATAAATCTGTCATTATTAGACATAAACATCATGTAGTAAACTGTTTTGTGACTTTAGGCCTTGTCTGATGTTGATAAACGACAACCATCAATGATTCAACAGTTTTTCAGAAGATACTTTTTGGAAATCTAAACGACAGTCCCTTGTAATCAGTTTATCTCCACGTGCTGTGCCAATACAGTTTTGAGATGCTGTTTAAACAAGCAGCAGTTTTCCCATTTGGGACCTGAATCTTCCCAGTGGGAGTCCAAGGTCTGTCGTGCTCCAGATCGAAAAGTTGCCTTGCGTCTTCTTTTGAATAAGGGATGACTGTAAGCTAGTGCCGTGCTCTCATGTTGTCTATATTAGAGAAAAGCATCCTTGCTGTTTTGGCACTAGTACAGTAAATTGGCCTGCAGTATCACTCTTAGAACTTGATGCCAAATTAAAGTGTTGGCTCAATTTTAAAGCTTTTTGAGGTAAAGCACAAATAGATATGAAGATCTGCAAAAGCATTATGGCCATCCAAAGGCCCCTATATACTCAAACTTTGAGGTTACACCTAATTAAAACTTAGTAATTACACCTTTTTAAATTTTACATACTTGTGGCATGTATGTTTTAGACATATGTTATATTCAGGTATCTAGCGAAAGATAGACCCTCTAACCCTGATTTTACCTCACCCTATTTGTTGGCAGTTCATAAAAATAAAATATACACATTTGACCTTGGTATTAAATCTTAAACCTAAATGGGAATTGCAATTGGATTAGCTTTGTGGTTGTGCTTAAAATGCTCGTCTATACAGCCAGAGTAATGGAAACCACTTAAGTGTTAGCCAGCTGACATATTGGACTGATGACAGGGTTGGGTTCAGTGCTGTAGATCACATATCAAGTGCAAAGCTATTCAACTTATTTACAGTTCATTTAATTTGCCTGGCAGTCAAACTCCACGTATGACTTTACCATGCTTATCTAAATGGAAGCAAATGAGATCATCTTAGCAGGAGGCTGGAAATTATACATTTTATGGCATTACATGAATATCCGTTCTCAGAACAGTGCTTTATGGAATGGAACAGGTGAATGATGATCAGTGTGGGTGATTATGGTAAAGTGGGGTCATCTGTTCTTTGAACATGTAAACAGAGAATGAAGCACCTTCCATTGTCTCATAAGTGATACCACCACTTCCAGGAAGTACTAATTTTTTTGCCTTATCATCATTGCATCCTACTGAGAAAACCGGCTTACGTCAGTACAATATGTTCATTTTGGTTCAGGCTGGTTTTTGTTGTTCACCAACAAATGCAAGTGCACAAGAATGGTCTTCCTTGTGATATTCATTGATCAAGGAATGGCTAGTTACTACTATCCAAAACGCAATATTCTGGAGACCAGCAGTGGAGGTCTTTTAGAAAGGGCACTTTTCTGCAAACTTAGCCCCAAACATGCTCACCTTAGCAATTAGCGCGGATTAAACACAGGCATAGAGCCCTGCTGAGCAGTGAGTAAATATTGTGTAAATCTCTGTCCCTTAAGGCTACATATTCTTATTCATGCAGCAATTCTTGGCACAATCTAAATCTTTGCTGATGATTTTCAGCGATATAACACCACACATAGAGTTGACCGTACAGGTAGGAGACGGCTGGTTTGCACTCCCACATCTCCTGGTGCTATCAAGCATGACCTAATGCAGCTCGTTCATACTGTATTGTGGGTTTAACGTACCGTGAAGAGGATGTTTGCTTCATTTAGAAATAGATAAATGCTTGTGAAATGAACTGTATACACATGGTCTTAATTAAGTCTAAGCTTTTTGTTAGTTTTAAAGGAGTTTGGGGCGCTTTTCGCCTCTCAGCGTCCTAGCTAATCCAGCTTTGGCTATCTTAAACTAGCTAAGACCAGAAAACCAGCTCAGGCTGGCTTAAGCAGGGTCAGTCCTAACTAAGCAGGTATATCAATCTACTTATGCAAAACAAACGTAATATTCTGAGTACTAAGTATAAACTGTTTTAATCAAATGGTTCCCACCAGTAATAGCATGTTTTATCTCATCTTAATGTGACTACTCTTGTGTCTTGTTTGTTACAGATTGCTGAAAAACCTGTGTGGAAAGTTACACAAGCATATGGAGACAAAGGTGACCACCAGCTGTCACATCAGTACACGGCTCTCCTCTTCAGGAGTTTGAGGAGAAGTAGAAACACAAACGAGCAAGGGAAAAGATCTTCATGAGCGCCAGGAAATCCAGAGAGAAAACACACTGAGACACAAGCAGCAAAATGTGGACACAAAACATGACACGTGTCTCTTTCCTATTTCTCCTCCATGTCCTCCTGGTTGGATGGGGTCAAGCAGCAGAAGACGACGTCACCCCTCGCCTCAGTTTCTCTTACAGTAAGTGCACAGACACACGCAAGCACAACTCATTCTGCCCATTTACTGAAAGTGTGTAAAAGAGCCGACTGGTACGAGACTATAAATAAAGGCTGGTGTGGAGTCGGCTTAAGAGCTCTGAGGGAGCTACGGGCTAAAGACCCTCTCATCTCCCACAGACAGTAACACTTGCTGAAGTGTTGATAAACAGAAAGCAGATATCAAGGTCTGATGCTGGCCTCTGGCGTGTTTGCATGGAGGTGGATTATCGCGTTTACAAAACCAATGTGCCTCTGCAAACATAATGTGCAACATACACATGCATGTCCACATCAGTCATCGAAGAAAACCATAGCATTAAAACTGAGTGGTCTCATTGTTCTTCAACAGCATAATACATCCCCTCTTGCTCATAATAATGATCCCTTACCTGCTTCTCTAACATAACATATGTCATGTTAAAGACAAACCACTTCCTTTCCAGTGAATCGCAGGCGCTTTTGGGTGCGTCCATTCATTTTTTTGCAGGCTTAGTGTGTTGGGAAAAGAAGAGGTACAATGAGTCTGTAAACACAGTGCACTATGGCTTTATTAACTTACTATGGTACTATTGTTTGTGTCAGATGATGGTTTTCATCACTAAGGTACAAGTCCTTTGTGATGGAGAATGTTGACGCCTTTTAAGACAAAAGCATGGTTTTTGTTAAAACAGTGGCGTGCGACACATAATTGTTTCCAATTTAATACATACAATCGCATGTTGCGTAGTTTGAAGTGTAAATGAGACTATTTATTTGTTGTTTCCAAGTCCACAAATCCTTCTTGTGCAGAGACATAAGTCATGGGCTTGCTGTGTTTGTCCTATGTGTCTTCATCATGTTGGACAAAGAGTTTAAGTCAACCTATATTCACATCCACCTGCCCATCCTTTCCACATTTATTTCTCATCTTCATTTAAACTGGCTCAGGATGTGATTATACTAAACCTACTAAACCTGCCTGAACACGTCGACTGCCTCTTTTGAGGGTCTACCTGCATGGAGGTCTTTTTCCCCTGCCAATATACAAAGGAACATTATATAAATCTCTTCTCTTCTCTTCTCTTCTCTTCTCTTGTCTTGTCTTGTCTTGTCTTGTCTTGTCTTGTCTTCTCTTCTCGACTCTTCTCATCTTGACTGTTCTCATTTTGTCTTGTCTCCTCATCTTGATTCATCTCTTCTCTTCTTGTTTTGTGTTGTCTTCCCTTCTTTCTCATTTTGTTTTGCTTTTTCTTCCCTTTTTGTTTTATCTTGTTGTCTTGTCTTGTCTTCTTGTTTTCTCTTCTCTTCTCTTCTTTTCTAGTTTTGTCTGATCTTCTCATTTTTTTGTCTTATCATCTTGACTGTTCTTGTGTCTTCTCTTCTCATTTTCTGTTGTCTTCTCATCTTGACTCGCCCTTTCTCTTCCCTTCTCTTTTTGTCACATTTTATCTCTCGTTGTCTCGTCTCTTTAATTGTCTTCTGTTCTTGTCTCATCTCTTCTCTTTACTTCTCATTTTGTCTTGTCTCATTTCATCTCTTCTTTTTCTTATGGTATCGTCTTGTCTCTTTAATGATCTTCTCGTCTCATCTCCTTTCTTTGCCTCTCTTTATGTCTCTTCTCGCTTAATCTGTTCACTTTTCTTCTGGTCTTGTTTTGTCTCATCTTGTGTCTCCTTTGTACTCTCATCTTGTCTTGTCTCTTCTGTATACTTTTTGTCTTGTCTCTTTTTAATGTCTCTTCTTGTCTCATTTGTCTTCCCTCAGTTCTTTCTACTGGCTAACATTTTCTTATAGCACTTTGTTTCTCCTGTCCTTTGCTGTTTGTTCTTGTGTTGTCCCCAGGATCATGCTGTATTGTAAGAAAGAATGCAACTGTTCTTTTCACTGGTGTTTCTCATCTGCCTGTCTAATACCACAAGGAATCCTGCTAATTCTCTCTGTTTGAGTGTGTTCCTGTGTGTCTGTATCACACTGTCACTCACCTTAACGGCAAATGTCATGCAGGAAAACCTGAATGAGCAGTAAGTGTCCAGGGCTGAATTCACTGAACATAAACATAAGCTTGCATCTTATTTACTAACCATGGTCAAATTTAACCAGTCGCTAAATTAAATGTGTACATTTGCACACAAAAAAAATTAATTTGCGTTTAGCAGATATTAATGAACATTGCCTGATTTGCACAGCTATCAGAGACTGCCATTTATTCTTAGCTAATCAGTAATATACAGTATATTATAATAAACAAATGATTCTGTACAGTTTAAATGGCTTAAATTACTGCTGATGAACTGTTCAGTGTGTGCAGAACTAGTTGAGTTAAATTCAGGAAACTGTTGCAGTTACACTGACTCCAATCCACTGTGAAAAGCCTCTGAAGTCTCTAAACCTGTATTGTAATGTAAAACACACTCCAATCTGCAGACCGGCACACATTTGACCAAAGGGCTGTCACTCCATTCTTGGACAAACATTCTTCTCCCTTTTCTTGTTTCCACCTTCCCTCCATTCTAATAAAAAGCTAATCTAGCGTGGATAATGAATGGGGATGTGTGTATGTGTTTGTGTGTTACGGTGTGAACGCTGGCCTGCTTCTTATTATGTGCCTATCAAGAAGGATCAGGGTTTGTAGGAGGAGAAACTACATCTGCTCAGCCTCTCTTCTTTTGTTCCTCTCTTTGATACACACTATGCTGCAGTGCTTAAAGTGCATTATAAAGCTATTTAAAAGGACACTTATAAGCAGTTTACACTATTGCTCTGTGCTTATCCAGTCATTTTCTCCTGCGAAATGCATTTACAGGAGATACAGAAGGAATCTCTTGGTTGTTGACTGGTCCACCACTGCTATTTATGAGAGAAGATTACAAACAGCAATCCATTGTGTTTATCCTTGGTTTATATACCTGTCATACTTCTTGATTTATTAACGTAGCCTATAATTGAAATTACTTATCCTCAGTATAATATATAGCATGCACATGTTATGGTGCTCAAGCTTTGTGCTGTGTTTGATTCTTTGTGGCTGGAGGTGATCAGGTATGTCTAAAGCAGCAGAGACCTGCACTACGTGTTACCCATGGAAGGCTTCCAAAACGTGCATCAAGTGGAAACAGTCCATTCAAATCCAGCCACATGCATCACGCAGCTTCTCTGGTGGCACATTGTAACATGAGTGGAAGGAATGTTTCTTGTTTACTTACTTAGAGGAGTTATTTTTTTAACCCTACAACAAAACCAACACATTTAAAACGTATTCACGCTGTGCCACATGACACTGATTTGAACATATCAAGGTTGTATTTTTAGCGCTGTCAAATTAACATGTCAGTTTGGTGTGGTCCAATAAAAAATAATGCAATAAAAGGAAATTAGTTTTACAATCATTTTAAAGTAGAAAAGCAAAGTTTGTCAAGGCAAGCTTGTTTGAAAGTTTTGAAAACAGTTAAAAACCTTGAAGTTTGAAAGTTTATTGGATGGAATTTAATATATAATTTGAAATGTAATGTAATTAATTTGGCCTGTTTTTATATTGATCAATGCTATACTAACCAGACTTTGGCAACTTCAGTCTGAGTATGACATGGAGGAAATTTAAAGACTGCTCTGTGAGCTGCAAAATAGACGCCACTCATTTTCATTGCACTTCCACTGTGATTGAATTGATCTTGGCACCACTAGAGTATATTAGAGCCACATTATGAAATGCTGCTAAGTTTTACCGATAAATCAAACCTGTCAGACCCGTCAGGCAAAAACAAGCACACAGGCTCCTACACCCACAGAAATAAATGCTTGTGTTTCCTTGATCATTGTAACCGCATTGTGCATTTATTTATTTGTTTATTGGCACCTCCTTCACGTTACCATGGTGTCCCAAAAGCCATCCCTAAAACAGGACCATCCTGTACAGTTTGATATATAATTATATCATACAGGTAGTAACTTTTGCAAGTTACAGGTCTGTGTAAAAGTGTTATTGTTTCATAGGGAAGTTTAATCAGCCTTGATTTCCAAGTAAATGTTACCACACAACTCATGAAAACCCTAATTACACATTTATTTGCAGCTTTTGAAACCTTTCTGCCTTAATTGTGAATTCATTAGATACACGTTTTGATCAAAACTTTCAAAACATTTATCCTCTTTTGTTTAGTTTTAGAGGCCCCCCTCTTTTTGAATCGGGAGCATTTCTGTTTGACCTACCCAGAATTCCAGCGGTCACCATGGTGTCGATGCAAGCTGCCACTTCTGTACTTCCCATGCTAACAAGAGAGACATCATGCCAGCTCACTAGACAAACACTAAACCCCTCTCCTGAACATCTCAACAGATTACACTTGATGTCTTAATGTTTTCTGTTGCCTCCTCTCTTGTACTTTCTGTGACTTCAAACTGCTCTCTTATTATATAATCTGTTTTTCAATATTTCATGCTGAGTTTTCTAAGTCTGGAGCAGGGAGACCCGGCTGCACATGCAGGTGGAAGAGAAGTGTAAACTGAGTGTTGCGTCATTCCTTTCTCCTCCTCTGGAGAAGCTCAAAAGTCATTTCTCATCAACGTGAGAAAACAGAGCAGTGTGAGAAAGAGCCGTACATTTCCCTTTTGGGAAAGCGGTTTGTCCTTAAAGGGGAAAAACACTAAGAGCACACTGTAAAAAAACCTAGAGTTTCCCAGGAGCACTTTACTGACCACTTCCTTTGGAAGGAAGGGATCATTAGAAACAACTAAACCAATCATTCTAATGTGTTGATTTGGTGCTAAAGAGACTTTCCTAAACTTACCTAATTCGAACTTATCTAATGTTAAAAACACTTTTGCTGCTTAACAGTTTTTTTGGAAACGTCGGATTCCCCCTCAGGGAAAAACCCCTTGGTTCTGAGCCACCACTGCAAGGGTCTCATGTACAGCAGGCCAAAAGGTATCACGTTGGATGGTGCTGCCATCCGGCCCAACAGCCTTTGAAACTGTCTGACAGTGAGTGACTGGCCTTCTCTTACTCTCGTGACTGTCGTGAGGATTGACTCGATTTGAGCAGGAGACAGACGTTCCTGCATCGAGGTTGAGTCCCACACCATGCCTAAATAAGTGGTTCTCTGTAGTGGAGAAAGAACACTCTTCTTGGCGTTTAGTCTTAACCCCAGCTCTCTCACATGGGCGAGGACGACATCTCGATGCCGAGCCGCCATCTGCTGCGATTGAGCTAGTATTAACCAATCGTCGATGTCCTGGAGTCGCAGAGGAGCCAGAGCAGCATCCACACACTTCGTCTCTGAGATCTATCGTAACAAACCAGTCCTCGGACTGGATCTGAGATACTATCTGCTTGATAGTGAGCATCTTGAACCGAAGCCGTTTGATAGCGCAGTTCAGAAGACGGAGATCTAAGATCGGACGCAACCCCCCATCCTGCTTCGGAACGATGAAGTAATGGCTGTAGAACCCGGACGCTCTCTCGAGAGGCGGAACACGTTCTATGGCCCCCTTCCTCAAGAGAGTATCTACTTCTTGTTCCATTACCAGAGCCTGCTCGGGGCCCACTAGTGTGGGGATGACCCCGTTGAAACGAGGCGGACGAGAACCGAACTGGATTTTGTAACCTTTCTCTACTATCTGCAGGACCCATTTTGAGATATTTGGTCAAAGTTTCCACGCTACCAGAAAATCTACTAAGGGAACTAGCCTCTCGAGGCTGGCCTCTAGTATTATTAGAGGAGCCAGTTCAGTACCCTGAACCGGATGACCGACAGGGAACGACCGACCTGACTACTGTAGCACCCTCACTTTAGCCGAGGTCCTCTTAGACAAAATAACGGTCCGCAGATCGGTTTTCGGTCTAGAAGACCCTGACTGAGAGTGTCACCCCGACCCACAATCTTTCTGTGGAGGGGTGCGGGTTGCAATGCTCTGTTTTTTTTGTTATTGAGACTTGCGATATGAAGAGCTTGACAGCTTGGGGGGGGGAGAAACCGCAGCGCGGGCTTCCGAACACTGAGAGAGAGCCGCGGAGATGAGGACCGAGAAAAGGACGAGCCCATCTCGGATCCCTCCGCTAAATCCACCTGCGATCCCCACGACAACAGTCTACGCCGTGCCTCGGCAACAGCGGGACCGCTGCCAGCGGGATCGCGAGCCTGGCTGCTCTCATCAAACACAGCCAGGCGAGAGCAGAGCATACGCAGCGAGAGTAACTCGCAGTGATGACAATCAGCTCCTCGAAAGCGGACCGTGCATGCTCCGCTCCTAAACAAACAGCACACAGATCGTGTGTATCCTCCGCTGCCAGATAGTGTGGGCAGGGAGGCACACAACGTCTGTAATGCTGTTTGCTCACCATAGATATTAGTTTAGACTTGGATATATTCTTTTGAATGCTTGTGGACTGCCAGACAACAGTAAATAGACTGACACATACACAGAGCGCTACTGAAGAGCAGAAGCTAACTTGCGCTCTGCCGGATGCGCTTTTATACTTCCTGGCGCTCATGTCACCCCGCTCGTGACGTCGCGCTGTTCCGTTGGACTGATTTTACACGTGCTTCAGATGCACACTTCTCATATCACTATGTAGGGCTGTGCAATTAATCACATGCTATTGTGAAGCGCATCTCGTCAGTAAAGCCAGTTCCATGATTGGTAGTATATCGCCATCACCTGCTTTCAGATGGAGCGGCATTTAATATACAGAACCATAGTTCACTGACAAGCTAGGCAATATCGCGTTCATAATCGAATGCGATTTATCTGCGATTATTAATGCGATATTGCCTAATTGTCAGTGAACTACGGCTGTGTGTATAAAATGCCACTCCATCTGAAAGTAGGTGATGGAGATTTACTACTAATCACGGAACCGGCTTTACTGATGAGATGCGCATGACAATCGCATGCGATTAATTGCACAGCCCTTTCACTATGTTTAGAATGGCTAGTTGACACAGTTAACCAGCATTCAAAGAAGATAGACAAAGCTTTTACTGGTGTGTTACAAGCACCTAGGTACACTAACATTAGTTAACTGTCCAAATGTTAAAGTATGAAACAAGGTATTAAGCGTCCCCGCTGGTGTAAATTCATTCTGTTTGGAGTCTAACAAATCCCAGTAAAAAGAGAAGAAAAAGAGTGATGTAGGATTGTCCCTCTAGGGATCTGTAGGCTGTTAGATGATATTGAGATATTTCTGTTTCGGATGCACTTAGCAAACCCCAGCAGTTCAACATGCCTTTTTATTTGCTCTGTATATTGACCTTCGTGTTTTTTTGTACTTAATATGAGCGCTGAAGCCTTATATTAAAGACAAGAGTACAGAATGACATTCTTATATTTAAAATGTGCTGTATGTGTCCTAGTCCTAAATTCACAAAGCTAATCTGATGTTGATCTGAGAAAGTGCATTAAATCAGATTTGCTCCAACAAGAAAAACCATTAAGATTATGATTACAGTTGTGAATATGGCTCCAGCTTCCATAGTTTATTTGTTCACCTTGACCCATGAAGAACTGTTCTTTTTCTCCCATCACCATAAAGCACAGAATTTAAAATGTATAGCGTGTTCATGGGCTTCCAAGAACAAACAGATCTCGATGTTCCTGTAAATATTCCTGAAAAACTTGTCATCATAATTAAGCACTGTTTACAACCAAGCAATTGAAGAGAGCATTTTTCCAGATTGTTTTTCCCATCATCAAAAGCAGCTTCAACAGTCAGCACTTTGTCATTAAGGCAACAGGGGGCTTGTCATTCTCCTGACACCTGGAGATGACATAATTTCTCCTTCAGCGCACACTTTGTTTACCTGGCGCTAGAGAAGGTGAGAAATAATGCAAACCCGTAAACACTAGGTTTTGCCGTTTAATAGCACGACATTACTAGCAGTACAGTGTGGCTGAAAACAAGATTTGTGTAGGATTGTAGTAGGCATTTAACATTTTTCTCTGAAAGCTCAAATCATTAGATACACTGTTTACTTAAATGAGCCGTCTGCTGAGGCCTAAACAAAACAGAGCTTTGATCTTTCACACTGACGGCCAGATTGCCGCACACAGTCGCTCTTTTCGACGGGATGCTCTGTGTCTCTAATTAACTTTGGGCATGTACTGTTAGAGCAGCCGTAGGGAATTCTAAAAGCCTGCATAATTAATTTATCTCTAAATGGATTAGAAAGCAAAGCGCTGCGGATATGGCAATCCATTTAGTAGTGGCTTTCTCCAAAAAAAGAAAAAAATGACATGTAATTGCATAATGGTTCTAATGATCTCCTTCCTCACAAAGAATCTAGCATGGCTGTGGTGTGTCTCATAATATAGTAGATCAGACTGATCTAAGGTCATTACTGAGGGTAAACAAGACAAGGACATACAAGTTATGATATGTTGTACCACTGTAGCACAACAGACAATAACTACTCGACTCATAAGTACCTCTTTCTCTTGTTGACACTCTTAGCCCTCTTTCCCCATGAGTGGGAACAGTATAAGCCTTTTTCCCAGAATGCATCAGTGTAGTTTGGAGGGAGCGAATGGCAGCAGCGGTCGTCATGGAATTGCCCTATGGGAACTGACCTCAGTCAATTCGAACAATAACACCACAGACTCATTGAGAGAGAGACCGTATTGTCTGTGGGGGGGATTGCTAATGTTACAAGACATGAGAATCGATGAGCAGGGCATCAGAAATGTGGGGTTAGATGGGGTCATTCCGCACCCTTTTACAAGTTTATTTAAAATTATTAGTTCATTTTCTGGAACTGCATTCCATGACATCCTTAATCAGTTTTGTTTGTTGCAGTTCGTTTTCAATGGAGCAGTTATTTCCTTGCGTTTCACAATCACACCTTTTTAAAACCGCATAAGTGGTTACAGACAGAGACCTCGAACATAACATGTGCTTACACAAAAACCAAAACAGCCCGATATTGCCAAAGACCTTTCTTATTTGAAGTGGTCTGCATTTAATTAGTGCTGGACGTGGGCAGGTGTTTATACAGCTCTGTATACATTTTATAGCTTGTGCTGCAGCATGTTACTCATTAACTGAGCATATAAATCACAACATACAATGACTAAGACAATGCAACAGTAAATAACTGTAGGTGCTTGCATTACTATTACAATTCATCATACTTAAGGTGACTTTTCACTATCTTTGACAAATACGAAACAACAAACCGGAAGTCATTAATTTCCAATGGAGAGTAGTACAGGAGCTGCGTGGAGTTCAGACCATATGTGTATGCAAAATTTTCTGATCCGATTTGAGCTTTTGAACTTTTGCTTGTATGCGACTGCCTGGCCAGATGTGATGTATTATAATTAAAACTATGAGCACAAGGTGAGAATTAACAATATTTTTGGAGTAAAACATCATTTTTTATCAAAAAAATGGGCAGTATAAGTATGTTTTAATAATTTTATAATGATTTAATCATTATAAAATAAAGCAATAAGCCCCACTCTGCTTTGCGTTATGCCTAACAACGCCCTTAGCTGTTATAAATTCACTGTAAACCATGGCTTCATGGGGCTTTTTGCTTTTATATTGAGTGAGTTATTGGACAAAATTGGATTTCGTTAGACCATTACTGTGTATTATGCCAAGCCACAGTATTATATTTTACGTGCCTTTGAAAATGCCAGAGAAACAGAGCTTTAAATAACGGCTATGGGAACAACGCTACTGTATTCAAACGCGTTATGGAAGCGTCATGTTATTCAATATGGAAATGAAAGCGTCAATAAGTAACTGACTAATAAATAACTGAACTCAACCTCATAATAAACATTTGTTTGTGTAATAGGTTAAATTGCCGTCACACAACAGCCAACAGCATTTTCCTAGTTTTTCAGTCAAGACTGAATTTTTCAGTTCAGTTATAAGCATTTTTACATTTATAAAGCCATTTTTTCTTAAAGTGTGCATCATCTTTTTGAGTCAAATTCTTGCATATAATTTGTCAATTAGAATAATGAGATATTTGGGCTGTTACCAAGCAAATAGTATAAATATCAACAAAATGAATCTTTGCAATGCAGAGGAAACACAGAAGCTGCATCTGAAGTGGCATTTAGATGTCACACTGTTTAATGCAGCTCAGAGGGACATGGGATGCTTTAACCTGCAGTTACAAATGCATAGATAATGTTTTGATATTTTAAACAAAAAAACGTGGAATACTGACATTTGAAATTATTTAAAAATGAAAAGATACTTTAACTCTTTCCCCGCCATTGACGAGTTATCTCATCTTTTAGAAGAAAACGCTTCCCCGCCAAAGACGAGTTTTACACTAGGGGGCGCTATTACACATCTTCTGAACGAGTACAAAACCTCTTGAACAAAAACACATGTGTACAGGACGGAGAAACGAGCGATCTCTTATGTAAACAGATGCATATGAAAAACAATGCGATCATCAGAAATGGCAGAAAATGAAATCTGTACTAATGTTACAGAGTAAAATGTTGATCCAGGAAGTGGTATATGTCTGTGCAAGTTTTGGAGGTGTTGATAGAAGCGATTTACTGGATTTATGTTTTGATAATTGTACTGAATATTACCCAGATGTAGTTCTTGATAAAAATTTGATTTTCTCACCTTTTTGCTCAAAATTATGCATTTTTATGAAACCTACCTATATTCAAGTGTTGATAAAAAAAGAATGCTTTAAGCTAGATTATTTTGTTTAAAAGTAGAGGCTCAGATCTTTGTTTTGGTGTATTGCATATTCAAATATTCATACAGCAAAATATTCTGGAGGCCATCAAATTTTAGTGAAAATCATCAAAATCGCTGGCGGTGGCTGGCAACTTTTTCAAAAATGCTGGAGGGGAAAGAGTTAAGTCTCTTAATTAACTTTTTGTTTATTGAACTGTATATTAATATCACATAATTTTAATATCATATTTGAAATCATGTTGATTTTTGGAGAAAAGAAACGACATTGATATATGCATCATCTTTTTGAGTCAAATTCTTGCATATAATTTGTCAATTAGAATAATGAGATATTTGGGCTGTTACCAAGCAAATAGTATAAATATCAACAAAATGAATCTTTGCAATGCAGAGGAAACACAGAAGCTGCATCTGAAGTGGCATTTAGATGTCACACTGTTTAATGCAGCTCAGAGGGGCATGGGATGCTTTAACCTGCAGTTACAAATGCATAGATAATGTTTTGATATTTTAAACAAAAAAACGTGGAATACTGACATTTGAAATTATTTAAAAATAAAATGAAAAGATACTTTACCTCTTCCCCCGCCATTGACGAGTTATCTCATCTTTTAGAAGAAAACGCTTCCCCGCCAAAGACGAGTTTTACACTAGGGGGCGCTATTACACATCTTCTGAACGAGTACAAAACCTCTTGAACAAAAACACATGTGTACAGGACGGAGAAACGAGCGATCTCTTATGTAAACAGATGCATATGAAAAACAATGCGATCATCAGAAATGGCAGAAAATGAAATCTGTACTAATGTTACAGAGTAAAATGTTGATCCAGGAAGTGGTATATGTCTGTGCAAGTTTTGGAGGTGTTGATAGAAGCGATTTACTGGATTTATGTTTTGATAATTGTACTGAATATTACCCAGATGTAGTTCTTGATAAAAATTTGATTTTCTCACCTTTTTGCTCAAAATTATGCATTTTTATGAAACCTACCTATATTCAAGTGTTGATAAAAAAAGAATGCTTTAAGCTAGATTATTTTGTTTAAAAGTAGAGGCTCAGATCTTTGTTTTGGTGTATTGCATATTCAAATATTCATACAGCAAAATATTCTGGAGGCCATCAAATTTTAGTGAAAATCATCAAAATCGCTGGCGGTGGCTGGCAACTTTTTCAAAAATGCTGGAGGGGAAAGAGTTAAGTCTCTTAATTAACTTTTTGTTTATTGAACTGTATATTAATATCACATAATTTTAATATCATATTTGAAATCATGTTGATTTTTGGAGAAAAGAAACGACATTGATATATAAATGATATTTATATAAACTATATTAAATGATATAAATTTATACATTTTCTGCTCCCATATCTTGAATTTTGTGATAATTCGAAATATGTATTTTAATAAACTGAATCATACAGTGAAAGAACGCACTGTAAATGCGCACATGCACTAGTCTAACCTACTACACTTCATCAGGCACTGTTTCTCTGGCATTTTCAAAGGCACGTAACATAAAATATTGTGGCTTGGTTGGCATGATACACAGTCTAATGGTCTAACGAAATCCAATTTTAAACATCTTTTACTGTACCCATTTTATGGCCCTTATATTACACTCTAAAAAATGCTGGGTTAAATATAACCCAGTTCTGGGTTAAAAAGGGACAAACCCAGCTATTGAGTGTATAGCCCATTTTTTAGAGTGTACCTATTTGAGCCAATGCAGATGAATTAAGTTTTCTCAGGACGAGACCGCCCTGATTGTAAAGCAAAACGTGATTGGCTATAGCGAGATCGTGCTACGATTGGTCAGCGAAATGTGGCTGTTATCTGATTGGCTTGAGTAGACGGTGGGTGGAGTCCACGTATTTGTGGATTGTCAGCACGTCTTGATGCAAGAAATGTTTCACAATTCGCAAATGCACAGGACACGTTTCACAAATGCCTGCAGCTATCTACAAATGCACAGGATGCGATTCACAAATAAACGGCAGGCAAAGTTGTGGTTGTGACATAAATATATATTTGTGAATATGTTTTTTTTATTTGCAAATCTCATTTTATTTATTTGTGAATTTAATTCATGTTTGTGAAACTTTAAGATTTATTTTTGGATCTCATTCTATTTATTTATCTCAACCTCATAATAAACATTTGTTTGTGTAATAGGTTAAATTGCCGTCACACAACAGCCAACAGCATTTTCCTAGTTTTTCAGTCAAGACTGAATTTTTCAGTTCAGTTATAAGCATTTTTACATTTATAAAGCCATTTTTTCTTAAAGTGTGCATCATCTTTTTGAGTCAAATTCTTGCATATAATTTGTCAATTAGAATAATGAGATATTTGGGCTGTTACCAAGCAAATAGTATAAATATCAACAAAATGAATCTTTGCAATGCAGAGGAAACACAGAAGCTGCATCTGAAGTGGCATTTAGATGTCACACTGTTTAATGCAGCTCAGAGGGGCATGGGATGCTTTAACCTGCAGTTACAAATGCATAGATAATGTTTTGATATTTTAAACAAAAAAACGTGGAATACTGACATTTGAAATTATTTAAAAATGAAAAGATACTTTAACTCTTTCCCCGCCATTGACGAGTTATCTCATCTTTTAGAAGAAAACGCTTCCCCGCCAAAGACGAGTTTTACACTAGGGGGCGCTATTACACATCTTCTGAACGAGTACAAAACCTCTTGAACAAAAACACATGTGTACAGGACGGAGAAACGAGCGATCTCTTATGTAAACAGATGCATATGAAAAACAATGCGATCATCAGAAATGGCAGAAAATGAAATCTGTACTAATGTTACAGAGTAAAATGTTGATCCAGGAAGTGGTATATGTCTGTGCAAGTTTTGGAGGTGTTGATAGAAGCGATTTACTGGATTTATGTTTTGATAATTGTACTGAATATTACCCAGATGTAGTTCTTGATAAAAATTTGATTTTCTCACCTTTTTGCTCAAAATTATGCATTTTTATGAAACCTACCTATATTCAAGTGTTGATAAAAAAAGAATGCTTTAAGCTAGATTATTTTGTTTAAAAGTAGAGGCTCAGATCTTTGTTTTGGTGTATTGCATATTCAAATATTCATACAGCAAAATATTCTGGAGGCCATCAAATTTTAGTGAAAATCATCAAAATCGCTGGCGGTGGCTGGCAACTTTTTCAAAAATGCTGGAGGGGAAAGAGTTAAGTCTCTTAATTAACTTTTTGTTTATTGAACTGTATATTAATATCACATAATTTTAATATCATATTTGAAATCATGTTGATTTTTGGAGAAAAGAAACGACATTGATATATAAATGATATTTATATAAACTATATTAAATGATATAAATTTATACATTTTCTGCTCCCATATCTTGAATTTTGTGATAATTCGAAATATGTATTTTAATAAACTGAATCATACAGTGAAAGAACGCACTGTAAATGCGCACATGCACTAGTCTAACCTACTACACTTCATCAGGCACTGTTTCTCTGGCATTTTCAAAGGCACGTAACATAAAATATTGTGGCTTGGTTGGCATGATACACAGTCTAATGGTCTAACGAAATCCAATTTTAAACATCTTTTACTGTACCCATTTTATGGCCCTTATATTACACTCTAAAAAATGCTGGGTTAAATATAACCCAGTTCTGGGTTAAAAAGGGACAAACCCAGCTATTGAGTGTATAGCCCATTTTTTAGAGTGTACCTATTTGAGCCAATGCAGATGAATTAAGTTTTCTCAGGACGAGACCGCCCTGATTGTAAAGCAAAACGTGATTGGCTATAGCGAGATCGTGCTACGATTGGTCAGCGAAATGTGGCTGTTATCTGATTGGCTTGAGTAGACGGTGGGTGGAGTCCACGTATTTGTGGATTGTCAGCACGTCTTGATGCAAGAAATGTTTCACAATTCGCAAATGCACAGGACACGTTTCACAAATGCCTGCAGCTATCTACAAATGCACAGGATGCGATTCACAAATAAACGGCAGGCAAAGTTGTGGTTGTGACATAAATATATATTTGTGAATATGTTTTTTTTATTTGCAAATCTCATTTTATTTATTTGTGAATTTAATTCATGTTTGTGAAACTTTAAGATTTATTTTTGGATCTCATTCTATTTATTTATCAATATGTTTAATGTTTGTTAATCTCTTTACATTTATTTATGGATCGTAATCTATTTATTTGGAATTAAGCAACAATTCTATCTCCATAGAATGGTTTCTGCCTGTGCAAATCCCACTTAAGCCCTGTTTAGTTGCAGCTATTGCCCTTTGTCCTTGTCTCGCTAAATCGCCATTAAATTTCTCCCCAAACCCTCTGAAATGAATGCTGTCGGTGTTGAGTGGTGCCCCGTTTCATCCTGTAATCAGAGAGAGAGGAAATACGAGACACACAGAGGCAGGGACTAGTAGCATGCCACTAATGTGCCGTGTTGATCCCCTCCTGCGGTTTAGCAGACTGGATTCAGTTGTAATAAGCCCTCCTGGTTGAGGACTGGTGCCCTATTATTACCGCATTGTCTCCCCCGGGATTCAGGAAGTGAGCGCACAGACCCTCTGCAACAGCTCCCAGAGAAACAGCCGCTTTTAGAGTCTTACCTCAGCTCAGAGTCACCCATGGGAGCATAATCAGTGTAATGATTACATGCTCTCTAAGTAAGACCTACCAGAAGTGGATGTCTTGCAAAGATTCTGTAAATCAAGTAAATCAAAGGCACAGCTTGTATGCCATTATAGCTTTAGCATTTATACCCAATGACCTTGTATTTTATATGATATTGGTGAGCACTATGCTTTGTTTTTTCAAAATCGTAAATGAAAACAGCAACCTGTTCTTTAGACAAAGGCTGACAGCATGTGTATTTTTATGTATTTATAGTCTGCATTTAGTAAACAAGTGTATCCTTTTTGGGGCATGTGAAAGTAACATTTTATTTTACTTTACTTTTATTTTATTATTTTTCTCTGCATAATAAACTGAAATAGGAGGAAGTATTTGACAGAAAAATGCCAGTTCATGTTTAAACATTATACTTTTTTTTCTAAACAGATTTCCCGAATACTCTAAAATATAAAATATTTGATTTTATTTTGTTTGTTTTGACCTGGAATTGGAGGAAGTACCGGTATGTGACAGAAAAATGCCAGTTCATGTTTAAACATTATACTTTTTTTAATTTTATTATTTATTTATTTATGTAAAACATTTTTTAACTGGAATTGGAGGAAGTATGTGACAGAAAAAAATGCCAGTTCACGTTTAAACATTATACTTTTTTTCTAAACAGATTTCCTGAATACTCTTTATTTTATTTTATTTTATCATAATTGTTTACTGGAAAAGGAGGAAGTATGTGACTGAAAAAAATGTCAGTTCACGGTTGAACCTAATACTTTTTTTTGGCTTTCATTTCTGTGTATGTTGGACTGAAAGACAAGTGGGATTCAACCATTAAGCCAATGACAGATGAAGAGAACATTTTGTCATCTGCCATGAAGTGATGAAGTCTGTATTTACAGCCTGTTGACATTGATTCGACATGCATCTTAAGACCAGAGGAGCTGCTATCTTGAAATGATGTCATTGTAGCATGAGAGTACTGCTTCGTTCTGCCAGCGTGTGGAGAGATGAGATGAAAGTACTTTTCCACGCATTTCATTTTACACACTGTCTGAATCACCACCAAATTCTCAAGTGGCTCATCTGAAGTCATAAAAAAGCCATTCTAAAGTATTCTGAAGGGAATTTGAGTAAATCACAGTGCCCTTAACCCTCTTAACAAACACCCCCTACTGGTAGGAAAGATACTGCTTCTTATGGATGCCGTTGTTATGGAAACAGAGAAACAGCCTGTAGGAACTGCCATGATAATGATGCAGTGCAGTGATTAAGTATCTTTGATAGCTTTGTTCCGAAACAGGGATTAAAATTATTACAATGTTGCTTTTTATTCTTGGTGCGGTTCGCTTTCACACGGCAAAGTTTCTAAACGGACCAAATGTGTTAATACAAGTCACGAGCGAGTAAACTGTTGTCTCATTGGTCAAAGTTCCACGGTTTATTTTCCGGGATTCAACTAGCTGTCACTCATGTCATCCGTCAGAATGAACGATAACAGCTTCGCGGGCTTATTGTTGTTGTTGTTGTTTTTTGTAGCTGTCATTATAATAATTTATCATTTTGAGCAGGAGTCCAGGATTGATCGGGAAAACATTTTTAAAATGCACCTACAAAGAAGAGCAATAAGACGGCATTATACAATAAAGTGCACTTTGAATGCACAGACATTCACAGGTTCATTTTGAGGTATTAGCAAAACAACAAAGCTGATGCTTTTCACGGAACTTAAGTAGTTACCCATTATATATTGTGATATAGCCTGGTTCCTTGGTCCGTTAGATCAGATTGCTTTCTCACTACAACCGAACCGCTCCAGAGTTCGTTTTCAATCGAGCTGATACCACCTCTTTCAGGCAATCTCGGACCGATTGTTTTGGCACGGATCCGAGCGCGATTGCCGTGTTCACATATGCCCAAACGAACCGAGCTAAGGGAGGAAACGCGCCAGGTTCCGAAACAACAGGCCAGGAGTGAAAACACCCTAAGAGATGAACATCTGCCTCTGAGCTAGATGTGAGCACACAAATGCTCATTCAACACTGATTCAGACACTTTTTGTGGCAGTAACAGGTTTTAGCTTTCTCACTGCCAGCCAGTAGAAAACATTTTACATTATTATCAAATACAATAAAAAGCAGGGGTTCTGAACTGACCCAACAGTGAATCCCAGGTTTGTTCAGGGGGGATTTAAACTTTAAAAAAATAATCATTAATATCTTCATTCTTGAAAATTATGATTAAAAACCATGCAACGTAAAAGAGAATGCCACGCAAACTACATTGAATATGGGTTAATTTGACAATAAACAAAAAAGAGAATAATTTCTTTCTTAATATTATATTATTAATACATTTAAATGTTTAATTTTAAGGTATTTTGTTCAATATTATAGAAACTACAGTGTAAAATCTGTCTTGATGAAAAGAAACAACTGAAAAGCATGATCACATATCTGACTTTTGCACATTTATCATATTTCCAGTATTAAATCTTTTTAGCTCGGTTTTGCTGACATTCTTCCCTCTCTGCTCTCTTTTTTCCATATCTGCACACAGATGCAATTGAGAGGTCGGCCAAGAGATTTTCACCCGAAAGAGTCTTCAATTACACCTCTCTGCTCCTCAGTAAAGAGGATAACATGCTGTACGTTGGCGCTCGAGAGACTCTCTTCGCACTCAATATCACCGATATCAGCAGAACACAGCTGCAGCGTAATGTGAGTATGTCTGTGTGTTTTATTTTGGAGGATGTATAAGCATGTGCAGTAGTCTGTAATACGAGAGTGGACTATCAGTAATGTTGGGTATAGACATCACTTAAGCACAACCATACGTTTTGTACACATAAGAGTGAATACAGTTAAAGTGGGTCAATTTGTTTTGTTTTTTCTGACAATTTGTCATTTGTATCATTGGTAAAAAAAAAAAACGATCCAAATGGCTAAAATTTATAAGGAGCTTGAGTTCAATAACTCACCGATGCAGTTCACTGCAGTGAATGAATAATGAGTTAAATTTCATTTATTCATCACACAAAACAATTTTATGATTCCAGAATACTTGAAATATAGTGCAAAGGTCAGTAAGGACCAACTTTATGATGCTTTTATTGGTCTTTTGTGTCCTTTTTGAAGCTTTAGTTTCCATTCATTGCAAGTGTCCTACTTTACCAGCTGTCTCACTTCCCCCTATTGTATTTTTGCAGGGTATTACTCCATTTTACTTTTCAACAAATTAACTTTTTAAGTCAAAAATAGACTTTCACAGTTCACTGCAAGTATTCTGCATTGCTTGATTCATTCTGAACATTAAAGAAAGGCGAGACTGCAATATGTTACAGCCAACTCACACTGTAGGCCTACTCATGTCCGTGTTTATGCATCGTCTTACTTTAAATGCACACTTTAATGTAACCGCAGCTTGCAATTTTCACTTTTTCAGTTAACATGGAGCACACCGCAGAGAAAGAGAGAGGAGTGCAGTTTCAAAGGGAAAGATTTACAGGTGAGTGAATTAAATATTCATCAAATTGGAGAGATGTCTTTATATTTCAGCATTAAGTTCCATGTCGATTCATATAGCTCCAGTAAGAAGTGGGTCTCTAAAATAGATATTTGCAATATGACTGAGCTAAATTTGAATCCGAGAAACTGCCCGTCGCACTACTTTCAGTTCGTAGGAACAATTATTGCCTTGACACGTCCACACTGTAATTTCCCTGAAAGCTTGACACTGCATAAAGGCTGTTATTAGATTAATAATCCACATGCCTAATTTGCTGCCAGATTGATTTGTCTTGGGAGCCAGGTTTGGATGGATGTTGGGACCCTGATGAAGACACAGTAATAACTGCTGTTTCTTGATACCGATGACACACAGCTGCCAGAAACCTCTCCCAGACTATTACAGAGGATTTAGATCAAACCTAGTGATGTGAAAACAAGTTCTGAGGCCCAGCCAGCCAACACTTGTGCACACAACCTGGCGCTTGCTTTGAACATTTGCCTTTATTTAACATTCAACTCTTTATGTGTATTAGTTTTGTATCTTTGAAAATTAATTTGCACGATTATCATACGTTCAGCCAAAAAAGAAAAATCTGTCATCATTTACTTATTACATTTCATTTACTTATGTTGTTCCAAACCTGTTTGACTGTGTTTCTCCTCTGGAATACAAAAGAAGATATTTTGAAGAGCATTGGGAAACAAATAACATTGGAACCTATTGACTTCTATTGTATGTATGGACAAAAAAAAAATACTTAGAATATTCTAAAAATATCTTATTTTATTTACCTCAAAAGAACAAAGGTCATATAGGTTTGGAACAACATGAAGGTGAGTAAATGATGACAAAATGTTCATTTTTGAACTATCCCTTTAAGTAAGAAATCGTTCATATATGTCTAAATTTGATCATTTTGATTCAATCACACTTTATCTGCAAATCATTTGATTTGAACTAAAAATTCTGTCGTCATCTGTCCTCCCTCGAGTTGCTCCAAACTTTATTTAAAAAAAAAAGTTTCAGAATATATTTTAAAAAGTCAGTTGTTTTAGCAGTTAGTTTATTTCCATTCTGTTTTTTAAAGACTGATCAGAAATCATGATATTATTTGTGATTATAATTAATTTTTTATAAATTGTTTGTATTTAATTCTATTAAGAGCCATAGTTTTTAACAGTAAGAAATAAAAGCAAATCTGCAGATAATTTTGTGGAGAAAAGTATGTTCATATTTCCCTCCTTACGTTACATCCTACAAACTTTAAAGAAAAGTTTTATTTGTGTTATATCTTGTGTTGTATTTTTTGGGGGTTGTATTTTATTATAATGTAATCCTTACTATTTGTCACAAACAGTACAGATAAGTCTTTATATATTCATGAAAATACATAGCTGACTTTTCATTATAGGAACAGGGTCAGTTGCAAGGGGACTATGATATTTTGGGGTTCTTGGTATCAAAAATGTTAGGACTCCAAATGAGCTAATGAGTGCATCAAGGCCTTGTACTTAAGTGACTGTCACATCCATGTCTTAAGTCTTAAATTGTTATCTGTCTCTCCCTCTCTTATGCATTTCCCTTTTCCTCTTTCTGACTCCAGACTGACTGCTTCAATTACATCAAGATTTTACTGCGTGTGAACTCCCTGAAAGCTTGACACTGCATAAAGGCTGTTATTAGATTAATAATCCACATGCCTAATTTGCTGCCAGATTGATTTGTCTTGGGAGCCAGGTTTGGATGGATGTTGGGACCCTGATGAAGACACAGTAATAACTGCTGTTTCTTGATACCGATGACACACAGCTGCCAGAAACCTCTCCCAGACTATTACAGAGGATTTAGATCAAACCTAGTGATGTGAAAACAAGTTCTGAGGCCCAGCCAGCCAACACTTGTGCACACAACCTGGCGCTTGCTTTGAACATTTGCCTTTATTTAACATTCAACTCTTTATGTGTATTAGTTTTGTATCTTTGAAAATTAATTTGCACGATTATCATACGTTCAGCCAAAAAAGAAAAATCTGTCATCATTTACTTATTACATTTCATTTACTTATGTTGTTCCAAACCTGTTTGACTGTGTTTCTCCTCTGGAATACAAAAGAAGATATTTTGAAGAGCATTGGGAAACAAATAACATTGGAACCTATTGACTTCTATTGTATGTATGGACAAAAAAAAAATACTTAGAATATTCTAAAAATATCTTATTTTATTTACCTCAAAAGAACAAAGGTCATATAGGTTTGGAACAACATGAAGGTGAGTAAATGATGACAAAATGTTCATTTTTGAACTATCCCTTTAAGTAAGAAATCGTTCATATATGTCTAAATTTGATCATTTTGATTCAATCACACTTTATCTGCAAATCATTTGATTTGAACTAAAAATTCTGTCGTCATCTGTCCTCCCTCGAGTTGCTCCAAACTTTATTTAAAAAAAAAAGTTTCAGAATATATTTTAAAAAGTCAGTTGTTTTAGCAGTTAGTTTATTTCCATTCTGTTTTTTAAAGACTGATCAGAAATCATGATATTATTTGTGATTATAATTAATTTTTTATAAATTGTTTGTATTTAATTCTATTAAGAGCCATAGTTTTTAACAGTAAGAAATAAAAGCAAATCTGCAGATAATTTTGTGGAGAAAAGTATGTTCATATTTCCCTCCTTACGTTACATCCTACAAACTTTAAAGAAAAGTTTTATTTGTGTTATATCTTGTGTTGTATTTTTTGGGGGTTGTATTTTATTATAATGTAATCCTTACTATTTGTCACAAACAGTACAGATAAGTCTTTATATATTCATGAAAATACATAGCTGACTTTTCATTATAGGAACAGGGTCAGTTGCAAGGGGACTATGATATTTTGGGGTTCTTGGTATCAAAAATGTTAGGACTCCAAATGAGCTAATGAGTGCATCAAGGCCTTGTACTTAAGTGACTGTCACATCCATGTCTTAAGTCTTAAATTGTTATCTGTCTCTCCCTCTCTTATGCATTTCCCTTTTCCTCTTTCTGACTCCAGACTGACTGCTTCAATTACATCAAGATTTTACTGCGTGTGAACGGCACTCACCTGTACGTGTGTGGAACGTATGCTTTCAGCCCTATCTGTGCATACATCGTAAGTACTGTGTTTCATTTTGTTCTATTCTGCAGGATTTCACCACCTCCCTCCATACTTTTAACAGGCTGCAGGGGAGGAATTAATTATCCATGTAATTTACTCAGTCAATCAAAATGTCCTCAGAAATACACTCTTCCGCTCTCTCCCTAAGGGTAGATGCTGCTCGGATGAGAAATTATTATGGCCCTGCACTTTACTTAGACCCTTCACTCTAGAGACTACGCCTGGATCGGTGTGTGCATTCGAGGGGTCAACACTGACCACTAAAATTGAAGCTTTAGGATAGTGTACTTCGCCTACACGAGTTGATTCTATGACAGCTGTCCCCTGAAATGGTTTGCAGATGTATATTTTACCTTTATGCCCCTATAAAGACACAAACAAAAAAATAACCAGAGTGCGTACAGCTGCATCTCCTTCCAAACATCCTTTTTATCAGTATCCTTGACCAACACAGAGTCGATAGTACACACATCATCCCTTCACTTTGAGTGCGTTCACCCTGTTCTTACTATCTTTCCAGACTTATCGCAATAACATGACGTTCTGTTCAGCAAAATAAGGTCCTTGTTTAGAGCTACACAGGCAGTAAGCCGTCAGGACAGCCGATACAAGAGACAGTGCTTGCTGTCATTACAAGAATGTGTCTTTTTTTCCTCTAGAACACATCTGATTTTTCCCTGGTGCGCAATGAAATGGGAGAAATAGTCACTGAAGATGGTCGTAGCCGGTGTCCTTTCAACCCTGAATACAAGTCTACGGCCATCATGGCCGGTACGTGCCACAAAAATTGGTGTAATGTATTGTATGTGTGCAACACTCTTTTCTGACTTGCTTTATTAATATCTGTTGCTTTGAAATTATGGTTTTACAGATGGAGAACTGTATGCCGGCACAGTCAGTAACTTCCAAGGGAATGAACCCATCATTTACAAAAGCCTTGGCCAGGGCACAGCCTTAAAGACTGAAAACTCACTGAACTGGCTTCAAGGTAAAAGCCACATCCATTACCATCCTGCTCTTAGTAAGACTGATTCACTGACAATTGTAGCACTTTTGTGCACTGTATTTGAGCGCAAAAGCTTGCACATTAATCACCTGCCGCAATTCAGTTTGACCAGGTGCTAACGTCTTTTAGGAAGTTTTCGTGACCATTGTTCCTTACTGTATATTCACAGTAAAACTGCTTAGGAACAATATTTATTGTGAAAAGTGACATACAATACATTTGATTGAATGGAATATCTTCTCAGCTCTATATATCTAATGTTACTCTACCAGTGTGTAGAAAAAGGTACACAGTTAACTCAATACAAACTGAAATAGCCGTAAATGTTTAGATAATGAAGCAACCATACCTTCATTTTATATTAATTCAGTTCGTTGTAAATTGCACCTCACAAAACAAAGTTATTTTTGCCTGGTACAATTAACGTTGCACTATTATTGCACATGTAAAGCTATGGAAATGGATGTTTGAGTCGATGTGATTTTTGTTGCATTATTTATATACTATTATAGTATGTTTTTTTTTTAGTTTTCATTTTTATTTTGTTTTAGGAAACTTTGTGTTCTTTTGTCATTTTTCTTTTGTCATTTTTATATTTCATTATTGCTTTAATTAATTCTTGTTTTATGTTTTAGTTTTAATAATATTACTTCAACTTGCCAAGGCAACACTTCTAATTTTTAAGATTTTTTTGTTTTGTTTTTTAAGTTGAAGTTTTTATCTAATATTTGTATTTTATTTTATTTATTAAGTTTTATTTCAATTACCAAAACTGATGTAAAGAGGAATTTAAAGATTAGAAGATTAAAAGAAGAAAAAAAAGTCATACAGGTTTGTAATGATATGACGGGGAGTAAATGACCACAATTTAAATTTTTGTTGAACTATCCCTTTAAGTAATTCAGGCGCTACAATAGTGCAAACAGCATGGAAGTAAATGGCTCTATCAGCGGGCACAGTACCCTCCATTCTGTTCTCTTTAGGGACTCAACTCCCCTGAACTTACCACTGAGAGGCAATTTTGGCACATCAGAGAATTATTCATGTAAAGCAAGACTACAGAGAACAAAACAAATCAATTTAGCGTCAGTTTACACCCTTCTCACTTTACTAAAGAGTACTGAGTAATAGCTTAATATTTTTCCATAAGAGGCAAAGTTGATGAAAGACACATATGCAAAATCAATACTAAGCACATTGATAGTGTAACAAAAGATTTCTCTCAGTAATTACAACTAAAGGGGTTTCAGGTGGACCAGTGGCTATATTTGAAACACAAAGTCCACATTACTTGCAAACACTGCTGTCTCTGTGCACGTTCCATGGCATGGATTGACACTTGTTTTTATTTTTCCCTCAGACCCTGCTTTTGTGGGCTCAGCCTACATTCAGGAGAGTTTGCCCAAAGGCAATGTAGTTGGCGATGATGATAAGATTTACTTCTTCTTCAGTGAAGCCGGAAAGGAGTTCGATTTCTTTGACAACACCATTGTGTCACGCATCGCTCGCGTGTGTAAGGTGAGGGACAGTTTGGCATCAACACATTGTTGAAGGTGGTTGGATTAGGGCTATTCCCCCCACATACATGTACAGACAGAGCATTTATACACCCCTCCCCCTCCCCCAATGAAGTGCAAAGGAATACATGCCAGTATGTTTGTGCATGTTAACAATGATGCACAAGCAGAGGTGTAAAGAGTACCTAAAAACCATACTTGAGTAAAAGTACAGATACCTTACAGTGAAAATTACTCCACTACATGTTACAAGTCACCAATTCCAAAACAACTTGAGTAAAAGTCTTAGAGTATCTGATTTTAACAGTACTTAAGTATTTTACTTATACTAAATATAGGCTCAAAGATGCACTAGTCAAAGAGACATGCCAGTGATAAAGTGTAATGTAGTGGAGAAGCTGGGGAAAGCAGGCAGAGGCAAGGATCTATGTGCTGGTATTTCATGGAAAAACTAGAACAAACAATAAGGCAAAAACCAAAGGGAACAAAGAACAAAATGACTGGCAAACAGACAACCATTGCATTCAACAACTCACAAGGAACTAAAGAAAAACTAGGGCTATGCTATAATGGCTAAATAAAATAATGTTAAGTAAAATTAAAAAGCCAAAGCCTTCTTGCAGTGGATGTGCTGGTTTGGGCCTCATTGCCGGCTGCAGTCATGTCCTCATCTCATATATAAAACACCTCAGATTCACAAATACTTGCTGAGGATCAGTTTGGGTGAATAAGGGCAAAACTCACAAGATGCAGTACTTTCAGTGACCTGTAGCAGGCATTATCACGTCTTTTGTAGCAGAAATAAACTGCTGCAGAAAAAAAACTAGGTCCATGCCAAATGTAATGTGTAACTGCAACACTCATTTCAAATGCAGTGGAGTACAGAGTACAGATACTCATTCAAAAATGTAGTGAAGTAAAGAGTAAAAGTTGCTAATATATTTGATACTCAGTACAACTACAAAGTACCCGACAAGATACTCAAGTACAGTAACTAATTACATTTACTCCAATACTTTACACCTCTGTGCACAAGTGTGTGCATGTGCTAACATGGACTACATGATGGTTTTGTCACACCGAGGTGACAGACAGAGGTGTGCTACCTTCAAGAGAGTTTAGAAGGTTTGTGTTTCAAAGATGCATTCTTCAATGCAGAACGCTCCCTTTTTATGGTCCACCTCGAATTCTTATCACTGCTCAGCAAATATTAGCATTCATCTGTCGAGTTGAGGAGCAGCTGAAAATGCACATTACATACAAAACACACACATTTCTCACAGTTCCTCCAAAGAGGAATACTCCCTGGACTGCACTTTATTGGATCTGCAGGAAAACAATAAATGGCCAACGGCATCATATGTACAAAGTCCCAAAACTCTTCACAAGTGAATAAACAGGGAAAGGAGCTAAGAAATAATTAATTTAATATATTATATAACATTTAGTCCAACAGCAATGGGACTTTTCACTGTTTGAATTGTTCTGCTTGTCTGCTTTTGTTTCTTTTAGACAGACTGAATAGTGATCGCGGACTGTCTTTATGAGGGAGTCATTAAATCATTCAGTCAAACAATTCGTTCACAACACTGATTCATTCAGGAACAAAGCAAGTTAATTTATTTTTGAGTGAGTCATTAAATTGTTGACTCAAGTTTGTTCAAACCACTGATTTATTCAGTGACTCTCTTTATGAGTGAGTCATTGAATCATTGACTCAATTGATTTTTTTTAAACTACTGAGTCATTCAGTAACAAAACAAGTGCCTCTCTTATGAGTAAGTCACTGAATCATTGCCTCAACCAATTTGTTCAAACAACTGATTTATTCAGGGATGAAAATAAGCACCGGTGAGTTGAATCATTGAATCATTCACTCAAACAATTAGTTCTAAGCACACTGACAGTTAATTCAGCTGTGGACTTGTTTGGAACTACTTTAATTTAACGGAACAAAAAAAGGCAAAGTAACTGTCAAATGAATGTTTCCATATATTAACTGCTGGATAATTGAAAAGTACAAAAACAATGTCATATTTTCATACTGTTGGTCTAAATATCAGTATTGCTGTGCTGATATTCTTAACAGAATCTCTCTTGCTAATGTGATATTGCTTAAACTATTTATATGTTGCATGCAAAATAATCTATTTAGTTAAAATACACAAATAATTTCAAATGGCTGTCAGTGGAGAAAAATGCTTTTGAGGTACAGAAATCAAGCGTAGCATTACTTCTGGGAGGTCACGTGAGTCAAGCTTGTATCAGCTGACTCTCAGCTGATCCACGTCTACCTATAGGAACATGATGCCTATCACGGCATTCCTATATAAGGTCTATTCAGTATTATTCAGCAGCTTTATCACTTGCTCAGGAGCAACTTACCCTCCTCCATCCCCAACTCCTCCTTTCGTCACAGTCAGGACTTGGCTTTCTAATATTCCTCGTTAAATCAGACTCTTTTTATCTTTAATAATGTTGTTACATTAAAATGTCATTAAGAACATTAATGATATCTGCATTTGTTATTGTGGTTATTGCTGCTCTCCCTGTGTTACGGGGCGATGAGGACACCCTGCTCATTCATGACATGCATTTGTGATATCATACTCAAATTTGCTAAATAACTGCAGGACTTGGGACTTTGAGAACACTGTGGGCATTTATACGTTATTTTTATGAAATAAAAATATTTTATGCACAATATTTCCGTTACACTACACTAACTTTTATCTTAATTCTTAACAGTTGGACAAAAAAAGTGTCTTTCAGAAAAGACAACAAATGTGTTTAAAGCTTAAAGGGTACAGGAACTACAAACAATTTAGTGTGGACATGGTTTGTAAGTAGTCCCAATTAAGAAAACACTGCCTTAAAATAGTCCTCTTTTTTTCAGACAAATCACCTGTATACATTCTGGAGAGGTCAAGCAACTGTCCTCCCCTCTCTCTGTCAGTGACGCGACAGCCTACCTTTCCTACATACCAGTTAAAGTTTAGGACATGAATTAAAGTACTAAAATATGATAAAGTATGATGAGATAAGTATTCGGCGCAAAACAACTTTGCTTTATTGGGAAAGGATAACGCGAGCAGCACGATGTGACAAAAGACAGCACACCCAATAATCAGTTATGTCTCATTTAGCAGATGCTTTTATCCAAAGCGACAGTAGGAGAGCATTTAACACACACTGGATCCCCGCAATGTGATGAGGTTCTTAACGGGTTCTATTGTCTTTTGTCGCGTCGCATGATCACATCCAGTGTAGACGCGACGTTACAATAAGTTAAATCATAACATGGAAACTTGATCGCGTGATTCGTGTCATCGTAACATAACACTTACTTACAGTGTGTGTTTGAAAAAAGGACGTAATCGTCCTCTGCTTTTTTCTGGGGTGCATTTTACCCCAGACCGCCAAAGAGCAAAGAAGTGAATGAACAAAAGAAATTTCGAGAGCAGCAGGAGATTTGAAGCTCATGGCAGACACGCCCAAGAGATGATTCGCCTTGTGATTGGCTGAATGTTGGTTCACTCAAATCTTAGTAACAAATCAGAGAACACGGGCGGAAATATTGGTGGTGGGTCAAAAAAGTGCGGGGGACAGAATCACCTGTTTCTAACAGTGCGGGGGATGTGTCCCCCGTCCCCCGCGGCTGCTACACCTCTGGCTGCATGGATAAGCAGGAAGCTTTTATCCAGAACAGAACCATACCGCCAACCCAAACTGTTTGCAAAGTGTCTATCATTTTGACGATAGTGGTCCTGACAGAAGTGTAGTTATGGCATCTACAAGCAGGGGTTAATGGTGCTATGCTAACTTTGACCCCTTGGTATTTTAAGTGATGACAGTGATGAATAGAAACATTCTGCGATTGCCATGTACAGTAGCTCATTCAAACAGGCTTTTTAAACCAGCTTCACTAAGGATAATTAACTAATGGTTTCCGTTTTCACACCAGCTAATTCACCAAGTGGCAGCCGATAGAAGGTTCATGCTCTCCTGTCTCCCTGCCTTGTAATATGGATTATCACACAGGCTGCATGAAACGCCTCCTGACAGTTAAATGGTTGCCATGCAGGGGAATGTGGCCTGCTTATTTACATCCAGTACCTTAAACATTATCCCAGGTTCCCTTTTTAGCATGCCCCATATTCCTCCTGCCAGAACCACTGGAGCCCAGCCATGAGGAAGGGAATGAAATGATTATGTTTATAAGCTGCATTTTCTTGGTATTGTACCTTATCTCCTGTCATATAGTAAACAAATGTAATGACTCCTGCAAAGCCCATTAGTAGATTTAATTGTCATGCATTCTGTGATGTGACACGCAACAAAGCCACACTTATAGGCCAATGTGCGAGTCCTTTCCTATCACATTTTTGACTTTTCTGAAATGTAATTTCCTTTGCTTATGCTCTTCGTCTCAAAGCAGGGCATCTGTGCACAAAGAGTGATCTGAATCTTAAGAAAGTCTCTGCATTGCCAGTTGGGTTAAAGCACTGACCTTGTCTGTTCTGAACGGTGCATGATCGGAGTGAAACATCTGCAAGATTCATCTGCAAGATTATATTTTGGTTTCTTCTCTTTTTGACTCCTAACTCACCTCCAATTATGTGTCACTATAATTTGGATATTGGTGCACTTTTGCACTGATGACCATGTCAAATTCCAGTGGAAACTGTGATGCATGTCATACTATCCGCTTATGTACTGAAACAGTTCCTTATTGTTTTAAGATTCTTTCTGAATAGCGCCTGGGGTTTGCATTTGAAAGCATACCCTATCATTTACACTCAGAATGACAATGAGACAATGAGCAGCAGAAGCTGTAATCCTTTGATTTTAAATTTAAAATGAATGGCATATGTGGAAACTGCTGCGTATATGGCAACACACACACGCATATACAGTATATATATACAGTGGGTACGGAAAGTATTCAGACCCCCTTAAATTTTTCACTCTTTGTTATATTGCAGATATAAATGTATATAAAATTGTATCTGTATGTTTACATTATGTAGAAATAATGAAAAGAATAATCATAAATGAAAATAATTTAAAATAATTACATTTTAGATACTGCATAATTTTGATGGTTCAAGTACTTATAGTATAGATTATAGTGTAAAGGGTAAAGGTCCTTTTACACAAACTATGATGGTAACGTTTAAAAAAATCATCCTAATTCTATGATAATAGGGATATTCACACCTATACATAAGTATAACGATAACAACAATCAGGAGAATTAATTTAATTTTTTTCTAGCTGATGAATTATAAAACCATGGACAGCTAATCAGAAACCATTCAACTCGAGCTCAAGCATTTAAAACCACAGATGTCAAAACTGTGTGTGCGCAAGCTTAGAATAAACAGAACATTACCATGCATTTGTGTCAGTGCTGATAGTTATCTTTATAGTCATTGTTCTTGGTATGAACTGCCCTTAACTCAGCCTTCAGCTGTTCACAGTGCTAAACTCTCTGCTGTTCAATGATGGGTGGGAGTTTCCCCTTAAAAGATTTTATTGGAATGTGTTGTTGCCGTCCTGCTGGTAGGGGAAGGCGTTGTCCTGCGTGCTGGATTACAATAATATTATAATTAGAGGAAAGCTCATTTTCTTTGGAGAGCAGCTGAGATGAATGAATAAATGCTTTTGGGACCTCTGCTTTAGGTACCTCTGGCTGTCGTTCAGGCCATTTGTACTTCACATTTGTCTGTTTCTCTGCTCTCTGCCCAAATGTCTCTTTCTGTTCTTGTATTTGATTTTATCACTCTGTCCATTTGTTTGTTCAGCTGTTCGGTATGAAGTTCTGCTTAAGCGAGGGTTGACACTAATATAAAGCTGTCCTGAAAAACTAAAATATTTAGTTGATTCATGGTGTGGCTTTCTTCTTCACCTGTGTCATAAGGTTTATTATCCAACCTCTCTTCGTTTTTGTCTTTTCTCTTTAGATCATTTTGGCTCGTTGTTTTCAAACCAATATTTGTTTTATTTTTTAGGGTACTTTTTGTTAAATAGATAAAATGGAAGCATTCAAGTCAAGTCGGTAATAGATTAAGCAGCTGTCTTTGATAATCCAAGAATTACATACAGTAAGTTGCTTTTTTCATCTGTTGATGTCACTTCATTAATGAAAATAAGGTACAGCTGGTGAAAGATTTGTGGTCAGTTGCATGCATATGCTGTAAGTTATTATGCTACAATGATTAGTTTGCTTTTGTAGTGCCTTAGTTCACAAAAAATTAACATTCAATTTGTATTACCATACTGAACCGCAAAGAGAAAACTGCCTTTATATATGTTAATATAAACAGAAGATTTAGACTTCAGATCAACAATTTCTCCTTTTGTCTTTTCTTATTTATGTTACATATGTTAAAAAGGTCATATGATGCGATTTCAAGTTTTCCTTTCTCTTTGGAGTGTTACAAGCTCTTGGTGCATAAAGAAGGTCTGTAAATTTGCAAAGACTAAAGTCTCAAATCCAAAGAAATATTCTTTATAAAAGTTAAGAGTCAACCCCACCTAACTAAAACTGTTCGTTCTAACACGCCCCCACATGTCTACATCATGATGTGGGAAGATTTGCATAATGCCGCACAAATGTTCACGCAAAGAAAGAAGGCGTAACTTTTATTCTCGCTGTTGCCGCCGCCGCTATGTTGTGGAGACGCTGTGTGTTTCGTTGTGAAAGCAAAACTACTTTGTTTGGCCTTCCAAAAGAGGGCACAACTACAAATCAGTGGTTAAGTTGTATTTACAACACTGTTCCAGAACAGTTCAACCCAAATATTCAGATGTGTGCTGCACATTTTACGGAGGACGAGGACTGTTTCCAGAACCAGTAGCCTACAATGCTTCTGTGCACAAAGGCTGTTTCTATAAAGTGGGGCAATTCCAACTTTGCAAGGACAGTCTGGCGCGTCTTACTCACGACCGTAAGTACGTTTACATATTTAAAGAATTTGCCACTGACGATTCAAACGCGAGTTTTGAGCAGTGTAGAGTAGCGCTTGTTGTTTGTCATTTCTCCGATCACAAATGCAGACATGGTCTTATGTTTACGCAGCGCGATGCGCAACGCAGCACGTAAAAAGACAGTATAAGTCATTATAATCAGTAATTATGTCCCCACTGGATGCAACAAATGCCTTGTTTATAATGGGTTTTATTGGTTTTGTCTCGTCATGCCGGGAGACGGCATCACAGTATGGTAAGGGGCGTAACATTTCCATCACACGCTTGAGGTATTCGGCCAATCACAATGCACTGGATAGCTGGCCAATCAGCGTACACTTTGCTTTTCAAACCGATGAGCTTTGTAAAAATCAGCGCGTTTCAGAAAGGCGGGGCATAGAGGAGCAACAATTATGTACATTATGTGGAAAATAATGTTTTTTTTTTTTTTTTACCTTAAACCGCATAAACACATTGCATTACACCAAATACACAAAATAATGTTCTTTTTAGCAACATCATATGACCCCTTTAAAATACAACACAGATTCATAACATTGCCTGCTAATGGGTAATTCTCCATAACTAGCTGTGTTTTTTTTCTGATAGACTTTAAATCCCTTGAATTATACTGCTTTTGTTTTAAGGGAAGTACCAAAGTTAAAGCCTTTACAACCCTCAGGGCCCCAATCACAAAAAAGCACTGTTGTACTCAGTCTTAATGCACAACATGTGATAGAAGCTGCGGTCCTTGTCCAGTTCTAAATCTTTATGTAATAGAATATGTAACAGATTTCACTGAAAGCTGCCATCATGATCAGCATTTCCATTGGCTGCACCAGTTTGTTGGCATCCACAGCAGCTGCTAGTTCCCTCTCATGGTCAGAAGAGGCCATAACAAGTCTTTGCACATTTCCTCCTCACTTTACATTCACATTTGTGGCAGACTTTTTTTTTTTCTTCATAAAAAGCAACTTCAAAGTATATTTTGCCAGCATTTGTGTGTTTTCTGGGAATCAAACCCATGAACTTGTTGTTGCTACCTTTATATGTTACCAGTTGAGTTTCAGGAACACCTAACTAATTTCTATCAGTGGTGTTATTGTTAACTAAAACGAACACTAAAACAATTAAAAGGCATTTTCTGTAATTCAAATAATAATAAAAAAGTAATAGCCTAATATTTATAAAGTACCAAAAAAGGTTTTTGTATAACATATGTATACGTTTACCTATATTAATAATTATATGTATATGTGTATATTTATCTATATATGTGTATATATACTGAATATATCTTACAGGGAAAAAAAACTTAAAAAAACGAACTGAAATATGTTTAAGTACTAAAATTACTAAAACTAAAATTGAAATAGAAATAAAGTAAATGAATAGAAATAAAAAACAAATGATATATAAATGAAACTAAAATCTTAAACTAAAATGGAAACTGAAAATATAAAAATAAAACCTAATTTAAAGTATCAATAATTACTATAACAGTACCGGTATATACTGTAAATTATACAAAATGATTTCTATGTGTATGTATTCCCACAGGGTGATAAAGGTGGAGAGAGGGTTCTTCAGAAGAAATGGACAACCTTTCTGAAAGCCCAGCTCCTGTGTTCACTGCCTGACGATGGGTTCCCCTTCAACATCATCCAGGACATGTTTGTACTGACCCCCAGCAAAGAGGCCTGGAAGAGTACTGTGTTTTATGGAGTCTTCACCTCACAATGGTACCGCATTAGCCTACACTATATCACCTGAAAACCCATTTAGCATACAGATAATATAGTGTGTATAGTTGTGGCTATGTTTGTGTTCCTTTGCAAACTTAAATCTTTTAGAAAAAGAAGACATTTGTCTTTTAGTTCTGTTATTGAAACCTGCCTGGCACTCAACCAGACTGCTTTTGTGGTGCTTAGCGTAGGAGTTGTGGGTATTGATTGAGTGCATTAACATAGGGGCAAAAGATACAGGACAGGCAGGAGATGTCAGCAAAACTGCAGATGCTTAGAATAGCCTCCCTCTTGAGTCCGCCTACGCACCTGTTATGTCTGAGGTTAAATTAGACGTTTTTTGCATTTTGTGTGCAGTCCAATTTTTGAGCTCCTGTTACTGTCTTAAAGGTGTCTGTCTGTGAGGTTGTTATTTTATGGTGTGGTCATCTGTGTTTGGTGATTATGCATATGCAGATCGATTGTAATGATTGTTGTGTTTGTGTGTGCAGGTACAAAGGTGCATCAGGCAGCTCAGCTGTATGTGCGTTCACCATGGACCAGGTCGAAGAGGCGTTTAATGGACGTTACCGGGAAGTTAATCGTGAGACGCAGCAGTGGTACACCTACAACCATCCAGTACCAGAACCCAGACCTGGAGCGGTAAGTTTTGTGTTTTCTTCAAAAACTGTTTGGATGGAGTGCAACCAGGGCGGATTTACCTCTTTTCATGACATAGGCAAAACAAATGTTTGGACCCCCCTACCCTATTAATATAATAGGCCTAATATTACCACCCAAGCAAACAAAAATATTTCTTAATCAGTGGAAACCGTTACAGTGTTTTCTATCGCAAGCGCTTGCGTTCAGTCAATAAAAATCAAATGTAGTTCTTAATTTGTTTGAGAACTGAGAAAGACCATTCCATTAATAGGCGTGGCGACGTGCATAACCACTTCGGGAGTGCATTATTTCTCTAATAATTTTAACGGCCTGGAGTCACAATCACACATCAATTTTTCAGAGGATTTGTTTCAAGACATTTGACATGTTTCCGTTCTGAAATCTCGTGTGTGTTGAACTAGCTAATATTTTATGCACCCCATCCCAAACCTTCCGTTGCAAATTCCAAAATGTAATTTTAAAGCTAATAACAGAGGCTTGAACCACTGATATGCAGGCTAACGCAGTTGTTAATGCAGTCTAATGCAGTTATTAGAGAGAGAGAGCGAAAGAGAGAGAGGGAGAGATTAAGTGCGTGTGAATACTTGCGTGTTGCATGTGCGTCTCTCAGCAGTGTTCAGCAGCAGCGTCGACTAATAGCGAATCTTTAAGTTGAACTGCTTCAAGAACTTCGCTACTGAGAAATGTCATGTAGCTTTTTAGCTGTGAAATTTTATTGATAAATTTGCTGGGCAGCCGCAGCTCTGACAAGTTTTCGTGTGTGCGCGAGTGTGTGTCTGTACTGTGTGTGCATTTGTGAGAGATAACGGGAGAAAGAAAGTGTGATTTCCCTACATAAAAAAGGTTGAAGACATGGAAATAGTTTGTCATTTTTACCCTATTGTTTGTTATATTTATTTGTTCAATGTCTTCTGGGGTTTTGGTTCTTTTACTGTTGCAGATATCCCATAGTATAACAAAAATATTATATATCTCTTCATTGTGTTTGGGCCCACAAATATATAACATATATATTATATAACACTTCATTGTGTTATTATTATTAATAATAAAACAACGAAAATAAAAATGTGTAAAAAAAAATCTAGTTAAACTAACGAAAACTGTGATTGCCCGTTCTTCCCTATTTTGATATATTTGCGAATTAATTTGCTCTTCAAATAAAAAAATTAATAAAAAAAAGACGGACGGAACGGGATTTTATTAAATGGGAATTGATAGCTTGGTTGTCATTTGGTACTTTCTGTGATCTCATGTGAGTGACAGGTCACTGCAATGAAGGATTTATTGCCCTCTCTTCATGACGTTAATAGTGACATCAGAAAAGAGATGTATAAAAAAAAAAGATGTGCACAGATAAATAATTTCTAATACACACTGCATAAAAAATAATAATTGTCAATTTTGATTTCATTGTGACTTGTATGTAGAACATATTGTATATTGGTGATCGGTTGTAATGAGAATTTCACATTAAAGTTCTAGCTACCAAATATCTAGAAAAAAGCTTGTTCGACCGTGAATTCAGGTAATCTGAGTACAAGATCTTTTCAATCACACTTTGACATTAGTGTTTGTGTTGAAAGTTACATTGATTTTGCCTGCCACTCACCAAAAATCACTGATTGCAGTTAGAAAAAAGGTATTGTGCATTGTTTCTGAGGCGTCTTTTTCCATCTTTCTGCAGTGCATCACTAACACGGCCCGCGCCCAAGGGATCTCCTCCTCCCTGCACATGCCTGATAAAGTGCTGAACTTTGTGAAGGACCACTTCCTCATGGATAGCGTGATCCGCAGTCAGCCTCTGCTGCTCAAACAAAACGTGCGCTACACGGAGCTCGCTGTACACCGAGTACAGGCTCTCCACAAGACATACGATGTGCTCTTCATCGGCACAGGTGAGGTCTTAGACCACCATATACGCATATAAAGCTCAGCAATCTCAGTAAATCTAGACTAGGCTTGACCTAATAGTCTCAGTTAAACTGTGCCAGGTCAAGTTGTTCCAAACCTGTATGAGTTTCTTTCTTCTGCTAATCACAAAATAAGATCTTTTGAAGAATGTGGGTAACCAAACAGTTTCTGGTCCCCTGACTTCCATAATATTTTTTTCATACTACGGAAGTCAATGGGAACCAGTAACTGTTTGGTTACCAACATTCTTTCAGCATAGCAGAGTGAAACCAGGAAAAGATTTACACACAAATTTTAATTACATATGAAATGTTCATCTATTTGGATTACACAGTTTTAACATATACAAATTAATAAACCTAATGTGATGCGTATTTGTCAGTCACACATAATTTAAACAGGTAAGACCTCTGTAATAGTACTAATAAACAAAATGTGCTTTAACTTCACAGTAAGCAGTTTTATATTTTTATCATCAATAAATCCATTTTTTTTACAATCTTATACATTTTCTAACTGAATATTGTTTGTTCCACAGCTAGATATATTTTAATTATGTTCATAGTTTTTAAATGAATAAATTTAATTGTTTTCACAATTAAATGATTAATTTCGAATGTATGATTATTGCAGTTAAATCAAAAAGATGCTAATAGTTCATGATAAACTATGCCATGTGTGTGTGTGTGTGTGTGTGTGTGTGTGTGTCTGTGTGTGTGTGTGTGTGTGTGTGTGTGTGTGTGTGTGTGGAAATCTGACCCGTTTCATTTATGTATGACTGACAAATATGCATCACATAAATTTCATTAGTTTCTGTTAAAATTGTGTAATCTAAATAGATGGAAATTTTATATGCAATTAAAATGCATAAATCTCAAATTTAGGCCTAAATATTGCTCGTGTTGGGTCGTGGTGGAGAAATTTGCAAAATAATGAATATCCCTTATTGCGGCAATCCATTTGTAAGAGGATTGACTCTTGTCTAATCTTGTTTTGGTTTCATAGTTAGTTTCATTTACCAGTAAGTTAGGATCATTTTCCCATTTTCTTACTAAAGCCACTTTCCACTTGTCACAACTTGCAGTATACTTAATGTTATGTTACCTGTTAACAAAATGGCCCAGGCTCTTGAGTACATAATCTCACATCACTTGTGTTATGTTTCAGATAACGGCAGAATTCACAAAGCCATCAACGTTAAGCACAAGATGTATATCATTGAAGAGCTGGTGATTTTCCCCGAGCCTCAGTCTGTACAACACATCGAACTGGATGATGAGAAGGTACTTCATTTTACTCTTTAACTCATCCTATTTGCATTTGTTATGCACACTGGAGAGTGTGATGCATTAATGAAGTGACAGCGTGGCAGGCAAAGGGACCCTTCAGCCACTGAGATAGTGAGGCCTGGAAGGGAGATAATTGCATCCATGTTTCCTCTCTGAGGAACTGTGAACAGATGGGAAACAAACAGTGTCTGTTCTGTTTGTATACTATTCGGTCTATTCTTCAGCTGTATGTGTTACACCATAAGAACTATTTTAAAAAGGCTTATTACCTCTGTCAGTGCAATTATCATGTATTAGCATTTACTGTATGCATACCAAGCATCTTTCTACACTGGATTTATCTGTAGATAGACTGTCCTAAAGAGTGGACGTCCTGAGAAGGTGTCTTATTTCTGTTGTGTTTGCATTTCCAACAGGGGCTGTTGTTTGTGTCCAGCTATTCTGGGCTGGTTGAAATCCCTCTAGCCAACTGCTCCAACTACCAGAGCTGTGGAGAGTGTGTGCTGTCTAGAGATCCTTACTGTGCCTGGACAGGGAAGCAGTGTTCAAATATCAAACATGCGCCAACTAAGAGGTTAGTACATTTCCATTACTTGCTCTAGCATTCGACTGTTGCACTTCAATCCTTATAATAAGTTTAAACCTGTATTAAAACACAAATTTAAACCATTATCATATAGATTTGTTTCACAAAACACAAATGAATGAGTACTACGGTACACTGTGGTGTAACCATAAAGTAAAAAACTATTTTTTTTATATTTTCCTTAAGGACTGTTCACACCAAGGACGATAACTAGCGATATAGCGATATAGTTCTAAAAATAGTTCTCAATATTAAAGAATGGCAGAGTCCACACCACAGCTATAACAATACAGGCACAGAGAAACAATATCATTGGAATCACTTTCAGAACAATTTTTTTTCCAGCTGATGAACGATAAAAACATTGACTGCCAATCAGAATCAATCCTGCTATAATGAGCTTGAGAATTTAAAGTGGCAGACGAGCGTGTGCTTGGAATAAACAGGATATCGTCCACTGGTGTGGACGCTAGTATAGTTATCTTTATAGTTATTGTTAATATTTTAACAAAACTGATTTACTGGTTATTACTGGTTGTAAAGTTTTTATTACAGAATTTTTTTTTTTTTTTTTTTTTTTTTTAAAGGCTGTTTTTCCCCTTAATTATAATAATCAGGACATTTGTAAGCTGTATATTTTTTATCTTTATGTCCTCCAAAAACATTAAAATGAATTAAGCAAGTAAAACATGCATTATATATATATATATATATATATATATATATATATATATAGGCTCTTTTGTAAAAATGTATTAAACAAAAATACAAAT